AAGGATTTGAAATTGAAGGAAAAGAAGATCATGTTTGCTTGTTGAAGAAATCTTTGTACGGATTAAAGCAGACTCCAAGACAATGGTATAAAAGGTTTGATTCCTTTATATTTGGTCATGGTTATTCGAGGAGCATGTATTATAGTTGTGTTTACTTTCGGAAGTTAAATGATGGTTTATTTGTGTACCTATTATTATATGTTGATGACATGCTCATTGCTGCTAAGGATTTAACATAAATTCACAATTTGAAAAGTCAGCTGAAAATTGAATTTGAGATGAAAGATTTGGGAGCAACTAAGAAAATCCTTGGCATGGAGATCAAAAGAGATCGAAAAGCCAACATGTTATTTCTGACCTAGAAGAAGTACTTGGAGAAAGTCTTGGAGAGATTTGGCGTGAAAGATGCTAAACCAGTTAGTACCCCTCTTGCTGCTCATTTTAAGTTATCAGCTGCTCAGTCCCCGCAGTCAGAGGAATAAGAGAGGTACATGGCGCAGGTTCCTTATTCCAGTGTAGTCGGCAGTATTATGTATGCAATGGTCTGTACACGTCCAGACATTTCACAAGCAGTGAGCGTGGTAAGCCGATATATGGGTTGCCTTGGTAAAGCACATTGGTATGCTGTGAAATAGATTCTCAGATATTTGTGAGGTATTTCAAACACATGTTTGGAGTTTGGGATAAATACTAACACTTTGGTTGGTTTTGTAGAATCAGATTATGCAGGTGATCTTGACAAAAGAAGATCACTGACAGGCTATGTATTTTGCATTGGTGGTTGCGCTACTAGTTGGAAAGCTACATTACAACATGTAGTAACTTTATCTACTATCGAAGCAGAATATATGGCAGTGACCGAGGCGATCAAAGAAGCTTTATGGTTGAAGGGTCTATTTGCGGAACTCAATTCATCCCAAGGTGGTATTACCATTTTCTGTGATAGTCAAAGTGCCATTCACTTGACTAAAGATCAAGTGTATCATGAGAGCACGAAGCACATTGATATAAAGTATCATTTCATCCGAGAAACCATTGCTGAAGGAAAAGTCTTTGTTCAGAAGATCAGCACTAGAGACAATCCTGCTGACATGTTCACAAAACCTCTTCCAGTGTCCAAGTTCAAGCTTTGCCTGAACTTGATTGGCATTTATGAAGAATGATTTTGCCCATTTGGGTTTTTACGGAGAGAGTGGAGCAAATTTACTATATATAAGCCAAAATTAGGCCAATGTGGAGATTTGTAATATGACCATTAATTTGGCTTATTTTCAAGTGGGGGCCAAATTTTCATGACATAATATCCACTATAACTCAATTTATGGACCAAGTTTTCATGACATTTGCCATGACATAATATCCACTATTAGGCCAAGGATTTCTTGCTATAAATAGAGGAGTTTCTCCTCATTTGAGAACACACCAATTCAAGAGTTTTTCACTCTTGTCCTTCTTTCTCCTCCTTTATTATAGAGTATTTTGTAAGAGAGTGGTGTTAGGAAGCACTTGTGTGAACCCTTTCTTTAGAGTGATCTTGTGAGGTTATTCTCTTGGGGTATTTGGGAATTAGAGAATTTACTCTAATTTTGTACTATCTTTTGTATTCTTATTGGTATAGTAAAATTGCTCCTCTCCGCTTGTGGACGTAGGTCACCTTGATCGAATCACGTTAAATTTGTATCTTTTTATCTTCTTTAATTGCCATTATTATCAACTTGCATTGTCTTTGTTATTGTCATTATATCGTTGTTTGGTTAAATTTCGTACTACCCGCAGGTTCTCGATCCTAACAAATTGGATGCTACGGTCTTAATTACTACTTATTTATAAACTATTTGAGGATACGATTTCCGGAGCATGAAACACTTTTACACGAATCCACGGCAAAATTAAAATATGTTAGTATTTCCCCAACGTAAAACAAGCAAATATATATAGCACCGGGCAGGAAGAAGCAGCTTCCGACGGGCCAATGCATACATTCCACGAACTTGACAAAAACCACAATCAACTCCATATTCTCACTCTCCAACAAAACAAAAATCAATACCCTCATTTTCTTCTTTTCTGGAAAAATATACTACTATATTTAAGTGTTTCAACAAATTATATTAGATCTATTAGTCTATTTATATCATCTTGGTACTTCTATTCCTGGAAGCTTCATATGACCACTTAGATTCGCGTTAAACACCTATTTATTTTCTTTTAATCAATCGCCGCAGGTATTTCTCGTCTTACTACAAGACAACAATAATGCCAGTATATTAGTATATCATCACAAGAGAGAGAGAGGGGGGGGAAAAGAATATATTTGGTTTATAGGTGAACCAGAAAGAAAAATTTAGTGGCCTGTTTTCAACAAATTCTTAAAACAAAATTCAAAATTGTGCTTTCGAACAAACAATGAAAAATAGTAGAGTAGTATATGCCGAGTTAAAAATTGTGCATACACTAGGAGCGGGAGCACTGAATTCGCTTGTCACCAAAACTATAAAGTTTTGTGATCTGTATAACTTAGTTGAGGGTAGTAGGAATTCTTTTAAGAGTAATAAATAAATAGAAGTACAAATGACTGCATATTTGTGCTGATATAAGAAATGCACCGCATCAGAATTTAGAGGCCAAATATGTCAGCCAACAACTGTCAATAAGCAGTAATTGGGGCTACCTGATTGATACAAAATGCATTCTTATTCAAGTACCTTGTATTAGACAAAGATTTAGCTGGCACCACTTGGCTTTTAAACTTTCCAACCTCAATTTGAAAATCCCATCTAATAGTAACACAAACAGCTGCGGCAGTGCGTGTCTTAAATTTTTTTCGTTTTCGAGAATATTTACAGTGATTACTCCCTTGACCTGCAAAGCTGTTTCAACTCTAGAGACATAAATCATGAGTGAGAGATTCATTTTCACTTGTTTTTATAATAACACAATATTGGCAAAAAATAGAAAAGTAGAAGTTGTTCTTGAAGTCGTTCTTATTTCTTTTCCATCACATCCTCTACACTAGTCTGGAAGGATTTTGCTTTTTTGGTCCTTGGGCGGCCTTCCATAAAGCAAGTAAAACAATTATTTTAGGGCTCATATTTATGGGGGCTTATTTTTTGTTACACCTAATAAGCTATGCATAAGTTTAAAAAAGGTTCGGTGAAGTGAAAAAGTTTGATTTCTTTCTTTACAACTATAGAGAAGAAGGATTTGCAATTGCTATAATTTTTGCCACGAAAAATTGCACTTGAAATGAATATCGAACCCGAATTTCGTAAAAAATGTATGATATATAGGAAGTAACAATTTGATGAGAATGTTGATAATAAAATCTCAAAATATTTCGAAGAGTCCTTTGGAGTTGATTACTTTATACATAGTAGACAAATCTATTTTTTTCACTTCAAAATAGATTTAAATAATTCGAAGCATATGAAAATATTTTTAATTTTCTATTTAGCGGTAAACATTAAGATCATTAAAGCATAATAATCAATTCGATATTGATGGTTTAGATTTATTTTTGGAATTAAAAATATTAAGAAAAATAGTATAATTAGAAGATAACAGTTTAATTGATAAACTCGATCAACTAAAAGATTTGATTCTTTTTCCAATGCCTATGTTACTTATGGAATAATGTTAATAACTCTTGTTAACGCCGCTTCAGCGAAAAGAAATTTTCAAAATTAAATTGATAAAATCTTACCTAAGATCAACAATGTCTCAAGAAAGGTTAAATGGATTGGCTATTTTATCAATTAAGAAAGACTTATTAGGAGTTATTGATTATAAAAAAATTATTAATAACTTTGTATCTAAGAAGGCTAGAAAAATAGACTTCAAATAAATAAATAATTTTATTGAAAAAAAATTAAGACACCTCATAAAGTTTGGCTTTAGGCCACAGAACTCGTCGGGCTGCCCCTGGTCCTTACTGGAAGGATTAATATAAACTGGTTTGTCACTTACTAGTGAAAAATATTTACACAATCATATCATTTAAAAGATAAATACAGACATCTATTGAATAACATTGACAGGTAACCTAAAATAATGATAATTCATCTTTAATTAATGAAGGTGTATTTTGCTCAAACACTCTCACTAGATAAGCAACATTATGATATATTACTCATAATATATGATTAAAGAAGTAGAAATGAAGGAAATGATTGGAAGCGAAATGCTGGGGGTTGACTCCTGCCGCGTACAGGCGTTTCTCCCACGAGTTCACACCGCCCACTGTACAAACAACCAACACTAAGCCCTTGGAGTTTTGTTTAGGACAACATGGGTCCAGCTTATTCCCTCAAACCGCGTTTCTTTGAGTTTACTCTCATTTCTCAACTTTTAACTTGTACTGCTTGCCCTGTTTATATATAGCTTCCCCTCTCCCTCTACCAAACATAACCCACTCCAAAAGCTCTTTAATCATAAAAATTATTAGAACAAAAAGAGAAACTCTTTCTCATAGTTTGCTGCCACTGCCACTGCCATCTTCTTTTATTTCAATTGTTGCTATCTACTACTTTTATACTAACCATGCAAGAAAAAACAAGAATGCAGAAGAAGAGATCTGTGGTTGGTCGTAGAGCTTGGAACATTCTTCGCGTTGCCTTGTTATGGGCAAGAAAAGGTGGCATTTTCAAGAACAGACACCTTATGTCCGATCTCCGTTTGCTTCCTAAATATATTAAAAGTCTTCGTCATAGCAACGACTATGGGTATGGCAGTGCACTACATTATGGAGAGCGTGAGCTTTCCTTTGATGACACCCCTATCATTCACGTTAAGATGCATCGCCCTCCTTCCCTTCGTTTCAAGATGCCTAACATCCCCTGTATTAAACCACAAGTCGATTTTGACTTTGAAAATGATCGTGATCATGAAGATCATGAAATGTACAATGGTAATGATGATGATGATGATGATATTCCTAGGAAGAGTTTCTTGAAGTGTACGGAAGATGTAAATGAAGAGGATACATATGCAAACTGTGAGTTATCTGAGGAGATTAGTTGTCCCGGAGATGAAGCTATTGATATGAAGGCTGAGGAATTTATTGCAAAGTTCTATGAACAAATAAAGCTGCAAAGACAAATATCATATTTACAATACCATGAGACGACGCTCGCTAACTAAAGGTGCAAATAGACAGACACTTGCAGGCGCTTTCCACTCGCCAATTTTCATTCTTTTTGGATGTCATTATTCTTGTTTCAATTTCATACTGGCTAGTAGTATTCTTTCTGTATAGGATGCATTACGTTGCGGATTATTTGTATATAGAAGAGGTATTGATCAGTATTCTACTCCTCACTGCAAAATGAGATCAGCTCAAACTTTTTTTTATCTAAAATAATTCTGCATCAAAATGTCCACTTGTTGAACCGGTAAAACAAATGTTGACGAGAAATAAAGGAATGAGTTTAGATTTTTCTTATGAGAATATAAGTTAGAACTAAATACCATCCAGGTATGAGGCACCAGCCAATCTCGAACCATGACCAATTTAACTCAATGGGCTTGTTTTCAGTGGATATTTATATTGTACTCCTAGTATTTATTTATTTCAGTAGTAAATTCATGCGTGACTGAATTAACTTTGTACTTTGAAAGTTCAAACTTTTTGCTTCTTGTTCAATAAAATGGAGATGAGTTCCAGATTCAGGGAATAACGCCTGGCTGTAATTTTGTTACAAGAAACACCTAAAGAGGGTTTTTTTTTTGGCCTTACAAGGGCTTCAATTTTATCCTTGAGAAGAAATGTGTATGTTTCACATTATGAAATCTGCAGGCAGCAGTGCAATTTATCTACATGATGTATCCCTGGGATCATATTCAAAAGAAAAATATTTCTACCTTTTTATGGAACATATTATATTTACATTTCGACTCTAAAATGGAAATAAATTAAATTCAAACACTTGTAAAAATCTCTACGCTCAATATGTGCCAATTTTTGGTTATGCATTTAATCATTTCTAGACTAGTATGGGTATAATGTTCCTTCAATCATGATAAGGTTTTAGATGAATCCAAGATGGCTAAGCTGACAAAATGAGGAGGGATATATATAGTACCCCAATATAACAACACAGGCTAGGCAGCGGGCAGGAAATTAACAATTGAAGAACCAGCTCCTGCAAGCTACGTCCAATGGGCGACTACATTCAAATTAAAGGGAAAACCAACATAAATGCTCATGCAGTAAAAAGTAAATATTTGAAAATATCTATTAAGAAAAGATAGTACTTATTAAAATTCATATTATTTATAATATATTTAGCAATTGAGTACGTTGTATAATTCCAAGTGCTACTCATGACTTTGTTCGTTTTTGTTTTATGTTGGTACTCTGTACTTCTGGGAAGCTTCACTCTACCCCTTAGATTCTTTATATAAACACCTTTCATTTTCTGATCAATCAATAGCGGCAAAGCATTCCTAATCCTACTACACGACAAGAATACCAGCATGTAGTTGAATAGTAGGCAAACCAAATAGAAAAGTTCAGAAAATATTTGAGCTCCCGTTTGGACATAATTTATTTATTTTAAAATATATATATATTAAAAATATTATTTGTTCATGGAATTTGATTAATTTTTAAATGTATTTTGAAGAAAAAAATTTAAGTTCCAAAAATCGGTGTGGGCTAGTTTATGGGTGATATTTTTTTTCACTACAAAACTTCAACTTTCTTTCACGTAAAATGCATGTCCAAACTTTTAAAATTTATTTTTCAACACAATTTTTCTTTTTAAGTTTCAACTAAATCTATGTCCAAAAGCTAATTAAGCAACATGTTCTCTAAAATATCTCTTCTCAAAGGATTTATAACATTATATATGCACTAATATTGTAAATATATTTTTACTTTATCAGTAAATTTTAACATGTGATAACATGTTAGTTACTATTTTTATTAGATTATCAAGTATCAACTAATGTTTATTATTTAGTAATATGATTGTACAAATATTTTTATTAGTACATAATCTCAAAGTCATTTTCAAAATAAAACTTATTGTTGTGTCGGACAATAATTAGTAATGGAACTGTTTCTTGGAGGAGAGAACTTTACTGGGTTGTCTTGCTGTTAAAACAACAAAATGTCTATGGTGAAAGAAAAGTTTCAACTAAATCAAACCTAACAAATGCTTTAAAAGTCACATGATCATCAATCCTGGGTCCCTAAGTTAATCATTCCCTTTGATCTACAATGCCCAAAATGACCTCTCCAGAAATAGTTTAATGTATCTGTTTACAATTTGAATAAAAGAAATGACCTTACAAAGATTTCTTCTAAGTCATTTCTTCTGTTTTATTTTCATTTTTTGATTTCTTAAAACATAAAAACCAAATTATGATGGGCCACAAAGACAATGGGCCTTCGTTATTATTTTTTTTAAACCCCTCCCAATTTAGGAGGATCTATAATGTTTCCATACTTTTCCTCCAGCGTGACTCGAACCAGGCACTAACGGTCGTGGGTGGAGGTATTCTTACCAACTGAGCAAGCCTCACTTGTCACCTTCGTTATTTACAATGTTAAAATTAAGAAAGTGTCATTTTAAAATCTCTGATCTATAAAATATAGATCTCTTATGTGTAAAAATAAATCTCATATGTCTAAAAAAAATACAGGATCATAAAACTAAAAACAAGTTTGTAAAGACCCACACAACTATTTGACTCGAATAAATATATGTTTGTCATTCGATTGCTTAATAAATGTACGTAATTAGTAGGCGTTTGGACATAAAAATTCTAATTTAAAAAAAAAGTATTTGGAGTTAAGTTGAAAAATGGTACATGAAATTTGAAATTATGTTTAGACATGCATTTCACTTGAAAAATATTATAATTTTGTGAGTGGAGAAAAAGTTTTTTCTGAAAATTTTGAATTTCGAAAAACTCATTTTTGAAAAGAAAAAAAATTAGAAAAAAGAAATTTTTTTTTTATGGACAAACGGAGGCCTTAGTGTACAAAGAGCTATTACCTAGTTGTTTTATGGACAAACTGGGTCGTCCCTTCGTGTTAACCTGAGCGGTTTTGGTTTTGATGATTGATAAAGGAACACATGCATGAACCAGGTCCATAGACAGTGTACACAAGTGACGGGCAGAATCGAGCAAAAGGCATGCACGTGAAAGGGATAAGTATAAGTGGTTATTTATGATAATCCCTGAATGAAAATGTTGCATATTTGATAAGGAGCATGATTCCTTACTTGAAAAGAACTCTATCCAAGATAAGGAAAGAGTTAGAAGTTGAAGATAACTAGAACTCTTCCACCAAGGAAGAGTAAAGCATTAGACTTCTAGTTAATCTTTATTTACTAACTCTATATATATCAGTTCTGTTCTCTTTTACAGGCGATGAACACATACTGAAGTTAAGCACGAATTGAGAGTAAAATAGCAAGGCATTTTGTGAGCAGTTCCTGTGAGATTTAAGAGTGCGATCCTGAAGCTACACGAACCAGATTGAAGAACCAGCTCCATAAAGAGTTTTATGTGTCTTTTTTTATTTTTGGTTCAAAGTATAGTAGGCGTTTTGAGTTGTACTTTTCAGCTTTCTTAGAAGCAAATTGTACTAGGTACCCAAGTTGTATTATTCAAGTCAGACTTAACTTGAAGTAGTTGCAACAGCCTGCGGCGTGTTGCTATAAGGGTTAGAGTTAATCCTTAGGTTTGCAAGAGTTTGTAAACTTTATTGTTGGCTCAGATTTGTAGTGAAGTATTTGGAGAAAATCCTACTGGGTAGTAGGTCGTGGTCTTTTCACCTTTTGAGTCGGGTGTTTTTCACGTAAAAATACGTGTGTTCTTTACTTTTTGCATTTATTATTCTGCAACTATAGTGTAAGGAACACATAGAAGAACCAGATCCATCTATAATCAATGCACGCGAAAATTGAACACCACATAAATCACCCCCCTCTTGTGTGGCACTAAAGTATAAAACATCAATTGGTATTAGAGGGAGTTATCCTTGAAGAGGCTAACACCTTAGTAAAAGATCAAGATGAGTGCACTACCTGGAAACTGTAAAGAGCAATCCACCACTAGGCCACCACTATTCAATGATCACTACTATTCTTTGTGGAAGGAGAGGAGAAGAGATCAGTTGTAGATCACTGATGGGTGCTTCAAATGTGGTAAAAAGAACTACATGATCAAGAACTGTCCTATGTGGGAAGTCGAGTGGAAAAAGGAGAAATCTGAAAGAAGGAACAGAAAGAAGGAGCAGGTTCATGACAAGAAGAACTACAAAAAAGGTCATCCAAAGCAATGATTGTTACTTGGAAAGATAGTTCAGATGAGGACACTGATGATAATGTTGAACGAACTCTCATAGAAATTCTAGAATCTGAAGATGAACCTGATGAAGAATCTGAGATAAGTTTTCTGGACCTTAAGGATAAAATAATACTCCTTTCTAAAGATAACTATAAGAATTGTTGCTAACTTTAATTGATGAATTTAAGAATATAAGTTCTGAAAAAGAACAATTGTCAAAAGAGTGTAACTTTTTAAAAGCAGAATGCAAAAACCTGAAAATAAACATTTGTAAAACTGAAAAGGAAAATACTGCTTTGAAGAACCAGGTTCATGCACTTGATACAGTTGTTTAGAACTGAGATCTGAAAATATAAAGTTAAAGTTAGGGACAGGAAAAGAAAATGTAAGAGTTTTGAAAGAGGACTTAACAAAGGTTAAACATGAGCTTGATAGAACATGTAAATGGAACAGGTGCTCCAATGCACTTTCATGGCTACAAGAACACCATAGTAGCAACAGAAAGGGACTTAGCTTTGGGAACTCTACACCTGAATGGGATCCCAAAAATAAGTACCTAACACTCCCTGAGAATAAGATTTACACACACTGTGAAAACACTGGTCACTACAAGAGTGATTGCACTGTGAAAGAAAAGACAGATCAAAAGAACAAAAATTTTGTTCTAGGGAAAAATAGGCTGCCAAGTTGGGCTAAAAGGAATTTGATTCATCCTTTTGCCTATAGAAAGGGACCCAAACTAGTTTGGGTTCCTAAGACTAACCCTTGATTTCCTTTTGCAGGACCAAGTGAAGGGGAGCAACCAAATATGGTATATGGATAGTGGTTGCTCAAAGCATATGACAGGAAGCAAGAACCAGTTCCTTTCACTTGAGGACCTTAAAGGAGGTAATATCTTCTTTGGAAATGGAAAAAAGGTGAGATCATTGGGGTTGGAAAGGTAGGTAAGACTAACTTGATAGATGGACTGAAGCACAGTCTAATAAGTGTATCACAATTGTATGATAGAGGTAACATGGAAGCATTCACATCTACCAAAAGCTTTG